TGGTCTTGGGGGATAATGGGGAAGAAAAAAAATAGAATCTCTAAACTATGTATAATTTTTTTACAAAAAATCCCACTAAAAACATAGCAAAAAAAACTGTTAACTCCCACCCCTTTGAAAATGCCCGTTTTTTCCCCTGAAGCCCAGTTTTTTTTTTTGTCAATTAAAATTGGCCCTGGGGGTTTTGGCCCCCGTCCTTGTAGGTTTACACTGTAAAAAAAAACGTAAAAAACACTAACAAAACCTGGAGCCAAAAAAAAAAAAAAAAAACATCAATTAAATTTTATTAATATAAACATATATTTTTTATATACATCATGTTACACAATAAATGTTCCATTTTTTTATTTACCTTGTAAATTTATTTAACGTCTTTTTAATCAATAATGCGGCACATCTTCTGCCAGTTTTTTTTTATTGCTAAAAATCCCGGCCTGCTGTAAGTTTTTTTTTTGGTTCAACTGTGGAGAGAAAAAACAAAAAGAAAAACGCAGAGGGGTGAACTTATATAAATAAACATTACTTACTTACTAGTAGCAGTAGCAGCAGCAGCTACACTTAATAGTTTTCTTTAGTCATTGTAGAAAAAGCAGAGGTATTTGTTTCTGGGACATTGTTTGATTCCACAATGCTTACTTTAATATGCCACAGAGAATGTGTACATAGACATAAAATAGAAGTAATGAAAGTGGTACTGGTGGTGTATGCAGTAAAAGTAGTAAATTAGAAAGTAAAACCATGAAAGAGCATTCTCCAACCAAAGCCTCTGAGTGGCTTCAAACAAAATAAATAAATATCACTTGAAAGAATGGACCAAAGAAACAACCGGACATGACAGCAGGGATGACGTCATCTTTAATGGCACGTGGCCTTCAAACGCTTCATTTTACATTTTCATAAAAACGTCTCTTTTTGATTGTTTCATGATTTCATACTCAAACAGACCAAACCGACCCACCAACCTCTGCAAGTCACTGAAACGCCTTTTCTCCTCACAGCGGTCTGTCATATCGCACATAAATATGAACAGTACAGTAGAAGAAAAACAGAAAACTCCACACGCACACACATGCCGTGACCATGCACAAAAACACACACACACAAAACCGTTCTGGAAAGGCTTCACTTGGAGAACATGGGACTTGTCGTTAGTACCAGTCAGAAAAGGTCTTCTCTGGGATTTCACAGTGAAATATGTAAAGTCAAAACATATTCAAAAAACATGAATCCACTCAGTCCATTACAAACACACATAAAGCTTTGAAAATTACCAAAATGAATATACAATTACAATAATACTCACATTGACATAATATATACGGGGCTATAAAACCATACCCAAACAAAACACACACACTTTATAAATACTTGGAAATTTGGTGCTAAAAAAAAGCAATCCTGCTTCATAAAATCAGTTATAATATGCATATAGTTCATTAATACAAAAATCACTGCTAGTTGATTGCCAAGCTGGATAATAGACTTGTTCCATTTCATTTTTTTTTTTGCTCCTGATTGTCACATGGTTTTTGAAATGCGACTCAACCTCATCAGCGGGAAAAAAAAAAAACGCTAAAAATCTGCCGTAAAAATGTGAAGATGATCAGATATGTCGAACAGCGAAGACATTATTGCAGGCACGCGAAAGACACATCTACAAAAGGCGTTTTATTCCCTCCCTGTCTGATTATTCGGATGTAAATTTGACTTGTACAAAGTTGAAACTGCTAAAAATAGGCTAAAAAGACAAATTGCTTAGAGTGAATATTGCTTCTGATGTCGAGCTGACACCAAAAGAGACACAGAAATCAAAGTAAAAACACAGCGTCGAACTTCATAAGAAATCAGGATGAGGACTTCAAAGCCGTCACTACTGAATGGTTTCACTACAGCCTCAACAGCTCTCCAGTGTAAGCAACAGAAAGGCCTTTGCTCTTTTGTTTTCCTTTCTCGCAACAAAGAAGTCTAAATTTGGCTCGGGTTGGGTTCGGAAGTGCAGCGAGGCCCGGGCGTTTGTTTTAACGTTTTACGCTCACGCAGGCGGCGGCTTCTTCCTGTGCGCAGGTGACGTGCGACGATGATGCAATTTCCTCTGCTGAGAAATAGAAAAAGTGAAAAATCCAAAATGTTTGACTCTTTAGGGGCCAATGTAGAAGAGATGAGGACACTTTCTATACAGGGTCCTGGCTTCCTGCAATTGTTTCACTAAATTTATCGCACATATTTTTCTTCCGTTTTTTTCTGTTATTGATTTGAGTCTGTCTCTGAAATAGTGTCAGGGCTCCATCTTTTGTCTATTTCACAAAGATTTTCTGAAATTAGGGTTATACCTCATCATGAATTGGGATAACGTGCAATAGTCCATTTAAAGAAGAAATATTTTAAAGCTATTAATCATGATCACGAGACTATATTTGTCATTTTGTGTTTTAGAATGTGAAATATTATGTTGAGTAAGTACAAGTAAAGAATGTAATTTCACCTGAGAAATTACCAAAACAAATGTATGGGTAATATGTTGTTGGGAAAGGCAGTGTGATGTCATAGGGGTGCAATGACGTCATAATGTTACAGCACTGAGAGAGGAGCGTCTAGACAGAAGGGGCGGAGTCACATGTTTGTGCCACAAGATCCTGATATTAGCGTGGAAATATCTAAAAACAACTCCAGGTGTGTTTTTGATGAGCGAATAATGTTGTAACATGATTAAAAGCTTTTAAAAAAAGCAGAGTTCAATTAAAATATTCTTCAGAACCCCCCGGATGAGCTGGAGGGAGTATGCCAGGAAGTAGAAGTCTGGGAATCTTAAAGAGACAGGGGCAGTCAGAGCCCCAGCCCCTCACTGATCCTCCTGCAGGTGGTGAGTCCGCAGGAGCCTTGATTATTCAGTGGGGGCTTCAGGCAACGTAGGGTTAAGTGTCTTGCCCAAGGACAGAACGACAGCAGTCATCAGTGGGAGTCGTGAAGTAGGTCTTGCGATGGGCTCGAACCCACGACCTTCAGGCTCAAAGGCAATGCTTGACCAACTCAGCCACTGTCGCCCTCTGTAATGCAGTCAGTGAACGTAATATCTGTCATTAATCAAATGAAGAATCAACCGAAATAAATCCAATCCCAAATAGAAACAGGTTCACTGACTTTCTGCTCAAGAATTGCAGAATTGAGAAGCATCTTATAAATTAAATCTGCAAGACTAAAAAATGTGTTAAAAAATTTGACCCAAAATGATGGAACCCTGTTATATGACCTCCCCTTTAAGACAACAACCATGCCTTTGGATAATTTCACTTTCCGCGTTAAGCATTAAATTCTATTCGTTTCACTCTAAAATTGCTTTAAACGTTCTCACATCGAGCGAACGCAACCTGTAATGCCCCTCGATGAGTTCAAACCGGATTACAAAAAAGAGAAAAACAAACAGTTACATTCTGAGCTAAATTTGTGATCATTTGTCAACGTGGACTGCTCAGACGGGTTCGCTTCGTTGGGTTTGAATACGCTCGAGCAAACGAAACACCAACAAACAGAACGTCACTCAGCTCTGTGCAAAAGCAGGTTTGGAGACGTCAAACTCGGGCTCAAACAAAAGGTTATTTTCTTTCCTGGTGATGACATTCTCTGAACAATTGATTTGAGATTACAGCCTGTTTTTGCCCTTTAGAGAAATCTGCATTTGACCCATCCCATAATGCCTGGTTGTTGGGAACCTTGTATTTTAGATCGTGGAGATTTGAGATTCAGTTTATTTATAAATAGTTTGGAGACTGTGTTTGGAGCTTGTTGGTCCGGTTCACTTTAATCAAACCAATCCTGGTTCACTTTGGGGAAAATGCTTCATCAGTGGAGGTAAAACCACTGAATAAGTGAATATGTGTCCGAGAGTCACTTTCAGTCAGTTTGCCTTTGAAACTAATCCGTGAAGCATTCTTTCCCCAAAAGAACCAGTGAAGCAAGTGACCAAGTGAACCAGACTTGGTCCAGTTAAAGTGAACCCAAGTTTGTTCAGTTAAGTGAACCAGACTTATAAGAATTTGCCCATGATGACTTATTTGTGCAGTCACTGATCTCGTCTTGCAATAAACAGTTTTAAAACGGTATTCAGGGAGATGTCTCTTCCAATTGAAAATGTGAAATAATTGGTCCACCTCACTGTCAATCATTGTCTTCAGCACCAATCACGCGTCCCCTTTTTGCTGGAGCACCCGGCCGGCCGCTCGCACTCGGTGGATCGAGTCTGTCTTAGCCGTTAACGCCGGTTCTTTGTGATTCAGCTGAAAATGGAAGAGCTTTAAATACAAAAAACGTCTGCGTGAAAGACAGAGGATCGACATGTGTAAACGGGAGGCGGGACTTCCGGCAGAGTCTCCCTATAGATACCTCAAGACCGATATGCTAAAACTATCTCTTGTTGACGAAGGCTAATGCACTGAGCAAAGCCTGTGGTCCGTGCCATTTCGAGGTTAACTTGGACTCACGATGGCACAGATTTGATTCCTTCAAACTTAAACCTTTGCACACAGCTCTGAGGAGAAATTAAACAACAAAACTCAACACACGACTGCTTTGGTATAACAGCGACTTGTCACTCTCAAACGGCAAACAAGAAGCAGGAGTATGAAAGTAGTTCCTTACACACTTTTACATCAATCATACGATTCAAACAAACATCTGTTCGATTACAAAAATACCTTTTTGTCTTTCTTTAAAATATCTAAAAATGTACAGCATTGTATTTTTTTTCCTTTTTTTTTTGCAAAGTCATGCTTCAACATTATTAATCGTAATAACATTAATATGAATGATATACAGAATAGTAATAATTATAGTCATAGAATAACATTGAGCAGTTTGTCCACACTTCCAGCAGCGGCGAGTCTCGAGCTGCATCATGAGTCTTGCATACGTCTCCACAATGCAACGTTTTCTTCCGTCATGCGATGCCGTGTACTTCATTGGAAAGGTGTCGGGGGGAAGTGTGGGCAGAGTGCCGCAGATCCGGGTCAAACTATGTAACAGTTATAAAAAAAGGTTGGGACGTCTTCGTAAGGGGAGGAGGAGGAGGAGGAAGAGGGGAGGGGGAGGGCTGGATGTGTGATGGAGGCTGGGTTTGCATGTCCTGAGGCTGCTGCTGCTGCTGCTTCTGCCTGGGACACAGAGAGGCGGGTGTGAGGTTACCATGGTTACTCAGCACAATGTCGGCGAGAGGAAAACACCACGGACGGACAAAGGTGAACGCTTACAGACAGAGGCGGACACTCGCACGGGACCAACGTGTACGAAAATATGACCTTTGCTTTGAAACGAGGAAATCACATTATTCAAATTTTGACTTCTTGAGTGGAATAGACAGATTGAAAGATGAATAGATAGATACATAGATGGATAGATATTGATATAGATAGATAAATAGATAAGAAAATCATTTAGTCAGCGACCACTTCGTCCACTGCGGCACGGTGGCTGAGTGGATACCACTCTCGCCTCTCAGCAAGAAGGTCCTGGGTTCGAATCCCGGTCGGACCAGGGCCTTTCTGAGTGGAGTTTGCATGTTCTCCACGTGTCTGCGTAGGTTTCCTCCGGGTACTCCGGTTTCCCCTACCACTAAAAATATGTCCAATAGTTCTAGCATGCGCCTCTTGTACTGGTGACCCCGCTCCCGTCTCTGTGTGGAGTGAGAGACAAATGCCAAAAAAATTAACAATTGTAAACCGCTTTGAGACTCAGATCTGCAGTGAAAAGGCGGTATATAAATAAAGATTACTACTACTTACTACTTACTTAAGATGAGAGATTCCTGTAATTTTCATCATAGGTACACCTCGACTACGACAGACAATAATAAATAATGTATTTGCAAATCCTGGTGGAAAAGTCCAGTGGATGAGACAGAGATGAAGGGATGTGTTGCCCAGCGACAGCCTCAAAACCTAAAGAAGGGCCTTTAACAAAGTATTCAGATCGACATTTGTTATCAAATTTAAAAATCTGTTTATTCTGGATTTGTCTTTCTCATTTTGCCTCTGATAGGTATGATGGAAATTACAGGCCTCTCTCGTCTTTTATTGGGAAGACTTGCACTAAATGGCTGACTAAATCCTTTTTCCCCCACTATGGAAATGTGCACTTCATTGTCCCCGTAGGGAAATTCAACCTCTGCATTTGACCCATCCTGATGCCGCTAAGGCTTACGTCAGGAGCAGTGGTTGCCGTAGTAACAGCGCCCGGGAACCCATCTCCAGATGTTAATGCTCGGCAGACACGGGGAGAACATGCAAACTCCACTCAGAAAGGCCCTGTTCCGACCGGGATTCGAACCCAGGACCTTCTGGCTGAGAGGCGAGAGTGCTATCCACTCAGCCACCGTGCCGCCAATAGATAGATAGATAGATAGATAGATAGATAGAAGAGAGATGTATGTCTCCTTTAACTTCCTCGGCCAAAATAGAGATTGTGCTTCTACTGTTAAAAACTAGCTTTTCAAACGTCCTTATTGTCCGTCACCCACAATAAAAACTGACATATTTTGGATTTTTCTCTTGTGGTCAGTTGAACAAATAGCAGTGTTTTCACATCTACAGACTGGACTCAGCGCCAGGAGCTAAAGGCGACATGTGAGAGGTGAGATTTACACCTCTGCTGCAGACACACATCTTAAAGCACGCTACACACTTGTGCTCGACAGTTTACACCCGGACAGACATTTCTATTTTTTTAGACCAGATTTTGAAGATTATGAATGGTAGCAGAGACACTTTTTTCACTCTTTGATAGTGGTTGTCTGAAGCCTTTTATTGTCAAAATAACGACAACAGAAACGTCTCTTCTGACCCTGATTAGAAGTCTCCATCCCCCAGTCGTTAGTCCTTTGTACTTCCCCTTTAACATCTATGAAAGGTTTGTACTTCCCCTTTAACATCTATGAAAGGTGGTAGTTATGGATGAGGTTCTTTATTTTCTGTGTGCAAATTTGAATCAATACAAAATCAATTTAACGTGTGACTTATTGATTATTCTTACTCTTTTATTTAGTTTCCTGTCCGTCCTGTTGACTGTTGGCCCCGCCCTAATCTGGATTTTTTGTGTTTTGTGTCCCTTTTTTGTTTTCACCACATGAAAGTTAATGTATTTGATTTGTTCGGGGGGAGACCTATCATCAGTGGGTAGATTTTCAGTTCCTATAAAGTCCTGGACTGCCTTGCATGAACTGCACATTTGAGGACTCCCCACAGCGACTCAGTGATGTTATCATTTTGAAACAGAAACCCATTTATCTAACGCAGCTTTTGACGAACGAACAGGTGTGATATCTCCGTCCTCCGAGTTCAGATGGGTATAAAAGTGTAAAAAATGTGTGGAGAGATGTTTTACAGCCTTAAAACAAATAACTGCTACTTTGCGGATTTAGCTTATTGCGGGTTATTTTTAGAACCAAACCCTTTTCCAAAGTGTGGCTCCACTTGAATCCTATAATATTTCAAAAAACAGTCATTTCTTCCGCCTCCCGGTGAATAAACCAAATATTTTGTACCAACTATTACATATTCGGTAAGTAACACACATCCAACTTCCTCCCCACATCAACCCACATTTAAATATCTTATTGGGGCTAATCTGATTGTTGTGTTTTTAAATTGTGTTCTTGTATCTTTTAAATCGTGTTTGTGTGTTTTATACTGGCGCTGGTGCTCTGTCTGCAAATGGACGAATAAAGTTATTTGAATTGAATTGCAGAGTGTTGACAGTAGGGCTGAAACAACTAAGCGATTAATCGACGACTAATCGATTATTGAAATAGTCGACAACTATTTTAGTAATCGATTAATCGTTTTCTGGTTCACACGGACTCAAACAGAGCAAAAATGACATGAAAATGAAGTATTTTTGATTAAAACCGACTTTGTTTTTATAATTTCATGAATATCTGTCTGTCTCATCCAATCAGAGCAGAATTAGGAAAAGAGCCTGTTACAAACATTTACTTTAAGTTTACGCCTCAATACGTCCTCGGGTGTTGCCACTTTAGCTTTTTGTGATGAAAAAATACATTTTTTCTACACAATTCACAGCCAAGCGATTACTCGATTAATCGTAAAAATAATCGATAGATTAATCGATTACAAAATAATCGTTAGTTGCAGCTCTAGTTGACAGTGACGTACCGACGCTACGCTGCCAGAGCGGGGCCAGAGCAGCGGCCGTCCTCCTGGATCAACACCGGGGAGAACAGAAGCAGCAGGGGCCTCACCGCGGGCCTCCATCACACAACAGCAACCTGCAACACACAACACACACATCAGCAACACACAACACACACATCAGCAACACACAACACACACATCAGCAACACACAACACACACATCAGCAACACACAACACACACATCAGCAACCTGCAACACACAACACACACATCAGCAACACACAACACACACATCAGCAACACACAACACACAGCAACACACAACACACACATCAGCAACCTGCAACACACAACACACACATCAGCAACACACAACACACACATCAGCAACCTGCAACACACAACACAAACATCAGCAACCTGCAACACACAACACACACATCAGCAACACACAACACACACACATCAGCAACCTGCAACACACACATCAGCAACACACAACACACACATCAGCAACACACAACACACACATCAGCAACCTGCAACACACAACACAAACATCAGCAACCTGCAACACACAACACACACATCAGCAACACACAACACACACATCAGCAACCTGCAACACACACATCAGCAACACACAACACACACATCAGCAACCTGCAACACACACATCAGCAACACACAACACACACATCAGCAACCTGCAACACACACATCAGCAACACACAACACACACATCAGCAACACACAACACACACATCAGCAACCTGCAACACACACATCAGCAACACACAACACACACATCAGCAACACACAACACACACATCAGCAACACACACATCAGCAGCACACACACACATCAGCAACACACAACACACACATCAGCAACACACAACACACACATCAGCAACACACAACACACACATCAGCAACACACAAACACACACATCAGCAACACACAACACACACATCAGCAACACACAACACACACATCAGCAACCTGCAACACACAACACACACACATCAGCAACACACAACACACACATCAGCAACACACAACACACACATCAGCAACACACAACACACACATCAGCAACCTGCAACACACAACACACACATCAGCAACACACAACACACACATCAGCAACCTGCAACACACAACACAAACATCAGCAACCTGCAACACACAACACACACATCAGCAACACACAACACACACATCAGCAACCTGCAACACACACATCAGCAACACACAACACACACATCAGCAACACACAACACACACATCAGCAACCTGCAACACACAACACAAACATCAGCAACCTGCAACACACAACACACACATCAGCAACACACAACACACACATCAGCAACCTGCAACACACACATCAGCAACACACAACACACACATCAGCAACCTGCAACACACACATCAGCAACACACAACACACACATCAGCAACCTGCAACACACACATCAGCAACACACAACACACACATCAGCAACACACACAACACACACATCAGCAACCTGCAACACACACATCAGCAACACACAACACACACATCAGCAACACACAACACACACATCAGCAACACACACATCAGCAACACACAACACACACATCAGCAACACACAACACACACATCAGCAACACACAATACACACATCAGCAACACACAACACACACATCAGCAACACACAACACACACATCAGCAACCTGCAACACACACATCAGCAACACACAACACACACATCAGCAACACACACATCATCAGCAACACACAACACACACATCAGCAACCTGCAACACACAACACACACATCAGCAACCTGCAACACACAACATGGTTTTGGACCTGAACCCAGTCCAGATGGTTTTGGACCTGAACCCAGTCCAGATGGTTTTGGACCTGAACCCTGTCCAGATGGTTTTGGACCTGAACCCAGTCCAGATGGTTTTGGACCTGAACCCAGTCCAGATGGTTTTGGACCTGAACCCAGTCCAGATGGTTTTGGACCTGAACCCTGTCCAGATGGTTTTGGACCTGAACCCAGTCCAGATGGTTTTGGACCTGAACCCAGTCCAGATTGTTTTGGACCTGAACCCAGTCCAGATGGTTTTGGACCTGAACCCAGTCCAGATGGTTTTGGACCTGAACCCTGTCCAGATGGTTTTGGGGCTGGACCACAGAGTGAAGGGGCCAACAAGTGCTAAGCATCATGGGAACTCCTTCAAGACATCTATTTATGTTTTTAGACACATTCTATGTTTATTTATTTTTATTATTTTTCTTTTTATTTTCACATTTTATTGTTGTACTTTCTATTGTATTATTGTATTGTTTTAGTGTCCCCAGTGTTTCCTCTGGAGGAGCCCTCTGCACTGAGAGCTGGGGTCTGCTGTGGCTTCGGGGGTCTGGCTCTTGGATCCGGTGGGGGTCTGGGGCCTCCTCTCTCCTCTGGGTCCTATGGGGTCTGAGTCCTGGGCCTGGTGGGGTCTGGGGCCCCTCTCTCCTCTGGGTCCTATGGGGTCTGAGTCCTGGGCCTGGTGGGGTCTGGGGCCCCTCTCTCCTCTGGGTCCTATGGGGTCTGAGTCCTGGGCCTGGTGGGGTCTGGGGCCCCTCTCTCCTCTGGGTCCTATGGGGTCTGAGTCCTGGGCCTGGTGGGGTCTGGGGCCCCTCTCTCCTCTGGGTCCTATGGGGTCTGAGTCCTGGGCCTGGTGGGGTCTGGGGCCCCTCTCTCCTCTGGGTCCTATGGGGTCTGAGTCCTGGGCCTGGTGGGGTCTGGGGCCTCCTCTCTCCTCTGGGTCCTATGGGGTCTGAGTCCTGGGCCTGGTGGGGTCTGGGGCCCCTCTCTCCTCTGGGTCCTATGGGGTCTGAGTCCTGGGCCTGGTGGGGTCTGGGGCCCCTCTCTCCTCTGGGTCCTATGGGGTCTGAGTCCTGGGCCTGGTGGGGTCTGGGGCCCCTCTCTCCTCTGGGTCCTATGGGGTCTGAGTCCTGGGCCTGGTGGGGTCTGGGGCCCCTCTCTCCTCTGGGTCCTATGGGGTCTGAGTCCTGGGCCTGGTGGGGTCTGGGGCCCCTCTCTCCTCTGGGTCCTATGGGGTCTGAGTCCTGGGCCTGGTGGGGTCTGGGGCCTCCTCTCTCCTCTGGGTCCTATGGGGTCTGAGTCCTGGGCCTGGTGGGGTCTGGGGCCCCTCTCTCCTCTGGGTCCTGTGGGGTCTGAGTCCTGGGCCTGGTGGGGTCTGGGGCCCCTCTCTCCTCTGGGTCCTGTGGGGTCTGAGTCCTGGGCCTGGTGGGGTCTGGGGCCCCTCTCTCCTCTGGGTCCTGTGGGGTCTGAGTCCTGGGCCTGGTGGGGTCTGGGGCCCCTCTCTCCTCTGGGTCCTATGGGGTCTGAGTCCTGGGCCTGGTGGGGTCTGGGGCCTCCTCTCTCCTCTGGGTCCTGTGGGGTCTGAGTCCTGGGCCTGGTGGGGTCTGGGGCCCCTCTCTCCTCTGGGTCCTGTGGGGTCTGAGTCCTGGGCCTGGTGGGGTCTGGGGCCCCTCTCTCCTCTGGGTCCTGTGGGGTCTGAGTCCTGGGCCTGGTGGGGTCTGGGGCCCCTCTCTCCTCTGGGTCCTGTGGGGTCTGAGTCCTGGGCCTGGTGGGGTCTGGGGCCCCTCTCTCCTCTGGGTCCTGTGGGGTCTGAGTCCTGGGCCTGGTGGGGTCTGGGGCCCCTCTCTCCTCTGGGTCCTGTGGGGTCTGAGTCCTGGGCCTGGTGGGGTCTGGGGCCCCTCTCTCCTCTGGGTCCTATGGGGTCTGAGTCCTGGGCCTGGTGGGGTCTGGGGCCCCTCTCTCCTCTGGGTCCTGTGGGGTCTGAGTCCTGGGCCTGGTGGGGTCTGGGGCCCCTCTCTCCTCTGGGTCCTGTGGGGTCTGAGTCCTGGGCCTGGTGGGGTCTGGGGCCCCTCTCTCCTCTGGGTCCTGTGTCGTTCTCTGTGGCTGCAGGTGGCTCTCTGCTCCTGGTGCAGATGGCTCCTTGGATGGCGCTTCTTCAGCCGGTTACATCTGCTCCCAGCCCCATGTCTTTTTATTGTTTTACCTATTTTACCTGATATGACTTTATACTTGCGTGTGTGTGTCTGTGTGTGTGTGTGTGTGTATGTGTGTGTGTCTGTGTGTGTGTGTGTGTGTGTGTGTGTGTCTGTGTGTGTGTGTGTGTGTATGTGTGTGTGGGTGTATATGTGTCTGTGTGTGTGTATGTGTGTGTGTGTGTACGCGTGTGGTTGTATATATAATTATAAATGTGGTTTTGGGGGGTCTGTGGGGAGGAGGGTTTAGGGCTGGGCATGTTGGATTGTTTTTAACTAAACTGTAAAGCACTTTGTGTTACACTTTTTGTATGAAAAGCGCTTTATAAATAAAATTTGATTGATTGATGAAGATTGTTGGAGACCATTTCAGGTCCTGTTGAAGCTCATCCAGAGAATGCCAAGAGTGAAGCAGTATCAGAGCAAAAGGAGCTGCTTTGAAGAACCAGAATATAACACATATTTACACTTGGTTCATACTTTTTTTTTTTACTACAAACATAATTCACATGAGTTCATCATAGGTTTGATGCCCTCAGTGTCCATCTACTATTTTGATAGTCATGAAGATAAAAAACTCTTGAGATGGGTCAGTGTGTCCAAACTTTTGGTCTGTACTGTACATTATCAATAATATCTACTGTATATTTTGCAAAGAAGACATGTATATTACAAAAGCTCAGGCCTAAAATGACCTACAAATATTTCATCAACAACTAATGAAATCAAGACATCACTCAGACGTTATTCCCCAACGTTAAGTCTGTCATTTTGGATTACAGTATTTCCATTACTATCCTGCAAAACAACGCAACGCCATATAAGGATATAAGGATACACACAACAGAATTACTTAGTTCAAGGCCTTATTAAACATAGAATTGAATTATCTATCTACAGACGACAGAGTGAATCAGCTGACGACGGCTACAACTGTACGTCTTTTGTCTCAGAAACCCCCCCCCCCTCTCTGGTGACCCCCCCGACCCCCCCCAAACTACCCCCAGATGTAACACCAAAAATAGGCAACGCACGGAGACCACGCATAAAACTGAACTCTAACTGGGCTGGTTTTAAACATGAACTAAAGCGATATTTTAAAACAAACCAGGCGTGTGAGCATCAAAGAGTTGGAGAACATCTGCTTTTGTATAATGTGAATTTTATAATGTATAATGTGTTTTAATTGTGTTAAAAGCCCTCCTAGGGACGGACATTGCAAACTAGCCTTGGCTATAAATGTTGTAGTGTTTCACATGTTGATTGTGTAACACTTGTCCCTATCAAATAAATCAATAAATAAATAAAAAATCCCA